GACATCGAATGTAGAAGTTGGAAATTTCATAATAGACTAAGCTTTCTAGTGAGTTCGCACAAGACCTAATTTCAAATAAGAATACATATCTTGATATAAAGAGTAATATAGTGTATTACTTATCAAAATAAAGGTCAATGTGTCTAGTTTCCAACGCTTCAAACCGTTCGTCATTTGGACATTCTTACAAGAAGTTATGACCAAATTACCAAGGGCTGTCAGAATGCGATTATGCGACCATTATGCGATCGCAAAATGGTTATGCGACCGCAAATTGATCGCAATATGGTCCTGAACAGCCCATTTTTGGGCACCGATTTGTGCGATCATTTTGCGACCCGCACACCAATTGTGCGGTCCATTGTGCGACCGCATAACTGAGTTCAGAGGGTTAATTTTTCTATTTTCATAAACCGGCCGCATTTTGATAAATAGGCTTTGGGGTTTATTTTGGGGCAATTATCTGAGATTTTTTAGAGAGAAGTGAGAGTGTTCTAGAGAGAGGAAGTAGATGAAGTATTTTTTTCATCAAGATCTTGTCCAAACTTTGAAATCCAACAAGGAAATCTCACAAGTTCTTCATCTAAGAGGTAAAGTTCCATACCCTAGTTTTCAATTTCGAATTTGGGTAGAAGATGGTTGATTAGGAGTATGATTCTTGGGTATGAGAGTATTATTTATACATGTATGTACCAATAAGATTTGTGAAAAGATTATTGGGCTAAAATAAGTAAAGATTGGGTTGATAAGTGAAGGAAATCTTGTAGAAGAATATTATAGCCAAATTTGCACACCTAGTTATTGATAAAATGCTCAAATGAGTTGAAACTATGAAAATATTCCTAATTATGGTTCACTTTTGTTATGTTTATAAATAGATTGAAGTTGCTAGGATTTTCGAAACCTCGTAGTACTGTAAGGAAGGCTCAAGAAAGATTGGAGCCGTCCGGAGGTCAATTCACGTGAGAAAGCTATTTTGGAATATCGACCTAACTTCAAAAAGGTAAGTATCTTGCCTAACCTTGAGTGGGGGAATTACCCCTTAGGTATTGAGTCTTATGTGAAAAATTGTATAATTGAAAACCATGTACGCGAGGTGACGAGTACGTACTTGGTTTATATGTGCATATTATATCGATTGAAATTTGTAGACGCCCTTAAGTGTTAAATTGGAAAATTGTTGTAACTTATTAAATCCCTTATTTGTCATACCTCATTCCTTGTTTGCCGAGGTTGTTTTTATATGATAATTTGGTGTGATTGCCACTTGACTTTTATGTAAACTCTGTGTTTGTTTGAGTTGCCATTTTTATGGAAAACACTTTCATTATTGATTTTTCCTACAGATAATTTAAATAGAAAATTTAGTTAATAAGATGAATAAATCTATTTATTTTTTGAAGTTGTGATTTAAAGGAGGTATTGTTCCTTGATGAATTACTTCTCAGTTCACGTTGTTGAAAATTTGGTATTGAATTATAAAGGCCGTGAATCATGTTGAGGCAAAGTGCCAGATTGTGAAATATTATTCGGTTGAGTTGTTCACTCCCGAATATTTTGTTAAGATGTTGTATACATTATGATCGAGTCGTGGGCTCCTTATGGTGGAAAAATAAGGTATTGTTGATTTATGTGGAAAATTGTAATATTTGAGCACTTGATGTGCAATTTGTGATATGTTGTAATATTTGAGCACTTTATGTGCAATTTGTGATATGTTGAAATGTTTGAGCACTTGATGTGCAATTTGTGATATGTTGAAATGTTGGAGCACTTGATGTGCAATTTGTGATATGTTGAAATATTTGAGCACTTGATGTGCAATTTATGATATGTTGAAATGTTGGAGCACGTGATGTGCAATTTGTGATATGTTATAATATTTGAGCACTTGATGTGCAATTTGTGATATGTTGTAATATTTGAGCACTTGATGTGCAATTTGTGATATGTTGAAATGTTTGAGCACTTGATGTGCAATTTG